CAGGGGAGCTGGGCCCTGACCTGTTGCTCTTTCCTTCTTTGGCCCAGGCGGAAACTCGGCGCTGGCTCAGGCCAACGAGAACCAGAGGGAGACGTACGAGCGCTGCCTGGACGAGGTAACCTGCTCCTGGGGCCATTGGTCTGGCCTGGGCCGCCCTCCCCCCCCCCCCCCCCCCGCGCTGGGCTGCTGCTGTGACCCGGTGCCCTGTCCGAGGGTGGGGGGGTCGTTTGCTGCTCCTGCCCCCCCCCCCCGCTGTCACGTGACTGCTTTGTTTTTCCAGGTTGCCAACCATGTGGTGCAGGCTCTGCTCAACCAGAAGGTGAGTGAGTGAGTACCAGCCCCCCCCCCGGGGCCTCCCTCCTGGGGGAGCACAGCCCCCCCCGTCCCCCCTCCCCCGTCCCCCTCCTGGGGATCACAGCCCCCTCTCCGGCCCCCCTCCTGGGGGAGCACAGCCCCCCCCTCCCGGGCCTCCCTCCTGGGGGAGCACAGCCCCCCGTCCCCCTGGCCTCCCTCCTGGGGGAGCACAGCCTCCCGGCCTCCCTCCTGGGGGATCACAGCCAACCTTCACCCCGCAAGGGTGGACGTGAGCAGGGGTGGGGGATGGGCGTGGTGCCCAGCGCTCTGCCCGCTGTGTGGCCGGGTGTCTTCCCTAGCCTAGCTGCACAGAACCCAGGAGTCCTGCTCCCCCCCAACCACAGCACAGCACAGGCCCCCCCCTCCAGAGCTGGGACTGGAACCCAGGAGTCCTGCCCCCCCACCCCACTCAGCCCTCCCCTCCAGAGCTGGGACAGAACCCTGGAGTCCTGCTCCCCCCCCTGCACAGCCCCCCCCCCCCCCGAGCTGGGACTGGAATCCCGGCGTCCACCCTTCACGTGCAGGGTGTAGCCCAGTTAGCGCTGGAGGCCTCGGTGCCCGGCTGCCGCTCTGTGGCGTGTGGGGGACACGGGGCCGCGTCTCAGCTCTGCCAGGCCCCACGGGTGGGGCTTGGTGACTGGGGATCCTTGAGCCAGCCCCGCCTGGCCCGTGGCCGAGCCCTGGGGTGGGGTTATGACCCAGCCCTTCCCGCGGCGGGGCTGGGACCCAGGGGACCCCATCGATGGGGTCGCGAGGGCGGAGGAGAGGGCTAGAGGGGGACCCGGGCAGCCCCCCTGCCGGTTTGTGGGGGGGGGGGCTGCACCCTATGGGGAGGGGGCCCAGCGCCTGGCTCTGAGTGCAGGGCCAAGCCCACCCCCTGGGGGCGCTGGCACAGACTGTCCGCTTCGCCCCCGGCCGGCAGGACCTGCGCCAGGAGTGCCTCAAGCTAAAGAAGAGGGTCTTCGACCTGGAGCGGCAGAACCAGACCCTGAGCGACCTCTTCCAGCAGAAGGTGCAGCTGACGACCGGCTCGCTGCCCCAGGTCTGGCCTCGGCCACCCCCGTCCCTCCCTCCCCAGTCCGGCCTCGGCCACTCCCTCCCTCCCCCCGGTCCAGCCTCATCCGCCCCCCTCCCTCCCCGCTGCCCCAGGTCCGGCCTCTGCCCTCCCTCCCTCCCTCCCTCCCCAGTCCAGCCTCGTCTGCCCCTCACTCCCCCTCCTGTCACCCGGTCCAGCCTCAGCCACCCCCTCCCTCCCCGCCGCCCAGTCCAGCCTCGGCCACCCCATCCCTCCCTCCCTCCCCAGTCCAGCCTCAGCCA